GCACCAAAGCCTTGTGGCTCCGAGCACTCTGGTCTTGCGCATTCACTGTTGGGTTCCTTGATGGTGATAGTAATCTGGCATTGATAGTAGAGTTGAGAGCGATCAGCATATTTGTAAACGTGTGCCTCTTGACCAGCCATCAAATCAGTAGGATATTCGAGATTATTGAGAAGGTATTTATCGAGGGCACATCCATCTTCGTTGAGAATCTCAACTTTATCACCACTGCCATCATCCACAAAGCATGAATGCACTACGGCACAGAATGTGTCGATTGTTTCTGAATCACATGTCCATTTGTGATATACTTGTTGACCGATTGTTGCGAATTGAATTGGTTGACCTGATGGTCCACCATCAAGGATCTAGAAATAATGAAATGCTTTAAGATAGAATTATCAAATCAAACAACAAAACGAGTGAATCAAAAGATAACCTCATATCTGCAGATAGGCATAGGAATGACTTGAGTGACGAATGCAGTTGTTATCTCAGAGACTTCAATTTGTGTGCTAACTGTTTTATCAGCCTCCATGTAGAAGCACTGAACGCGATAAGCACGATCAACTTTAGTGACGAATAAAGGATGGAACGAGATGACTACAGTGGTCGTTACAAAAATACCGCGTGGATTCAAAGATCGAGTACGAGCCACATTACAAGTGTCGAAAGGTAACTCAATACCAGCTACTTGTCGACCGCCCTCATCTGATCGACATCCTTCTTGATCATAAAGTCCTTTCACATAGACGTGACCCTCAAATGGGTTTCTCGTGTTGAAATTAACTGTTATCGATGCTGGTCCACATTCTATCTCTGGATCGCCTTCAACGCCGTTATCCACTGGAATTGAAGCGGAATGGTGTATAATTAAAAGGAATGTGAAGAAGATGAAATCTTGCAGCATAATGTGATGAATGCAGGAATGAAGAACTGCTGGACTTTTTGGTTAATCTGAGCTGTGCACGGCTTTTTATATGAATTCGATGGAGTGCGATCGTTAGGCAACTTAGACGCGTTTTCGATCAATCGAGCGACCCAATTCCTGATTTATATGACGCTTTTCTCTTCCGATACCCGTCTTCAAGTTTTTTTTGAACGCTTCGTTGTTTTTTATCTCTCAGTCGTTCTCCATTCGCTTTCGCTCTGACAATGGTATCAAACAATCAAGATCGAAAATCCGACCTCGTCATCGGAACGACTTTCTTTTTGCTCTCGATTTCTCGTAATCTTTTCTTCGTAAATCCTGCTCATTAACATCAACATGTATGAATAGATCACTGAAAACACTAAAAATGACTACTTTTTCTTCATAATTTAAGCAGTATTCAGCTCTTTCAAATACGTCCTCGTATAAAAATCTCAAAATATTGCAGTTGACTTATCCAAAATTCATCAAAAACAGTTGCAGATTGATTGAAATACGGTACTTTTTGAGAAAACGAGAAAACACAGCAGTAGGTCTTTTAGCTGATCGAGGAAATCCGCTTTTATGGACTTTTACACTGTCAGCGTCGAAAGCGGTTGTTGATCGAAGGATTCAAAGTTTTCTGTTTTGAAATTGTTTTGCACTAAATGCATCGAAAACCTTCTTAGATTTTAGATGGAACTGTGTCTGTGAAAACTAAGTTTTAATTCTAGAATTACAGAGAACGAATTTTGCTCTTGCAGATGTATTTTCAATTTATTCTGTGGTTTTGTTTTCGCCAGATTTCTTGTGTTTGCATTGGTCAGTGAGTTGCAAAAGACGTTAAACATTTGGGAACAAATTATTTTTGAGGATATTTCAATGTTAATCGGAGTTATTTTATTAGGTCGGCATATGCTGACAGGTATGTTCAGAAAGAGTGTAAAATTTGCACTTGTATGATGCCTTTCGAAAAGCATTGGCATAGTCAGTAAATTACATGACTGTATGCAATATTGAAATCAACCTTGTTGAATTGTGTGATTCGAAATCATATTGCAGTGAATAAAGCAGTTGTTTTGAAAGAATTGTGAACAAGTTGCATTGAGAAGATAGCGTTGGTTAAAAGATAGGAACGATTTGTTTTTCGACGATCATGCTGTGTTGTTGCTCATAATCATATATAATAAGCAAAAGTTGGACAGAGATGTCGACAATGCGGAATTAGATGCGCATTGTCATGGATGCGCACAACAACAGGCAGCAATTCGATGAAAACAAGAAAGCTAGTTGCATGCGAAGGGTCATTTGATGATTGTTATTGTGTCCGAAAGAGGTTCGTTTCGTTTTTTTCTTGCAAAACATATCGATGAGCAGCATTTAGTGACGCTGGTCTATTGGTGGACAGGTTGATATATCATGCAATCTAAAAAAAACGAGTTTGTTGTGCATCGATTCTTAAACCGAGAATGTCGATAAAAACGTTCATCGATAATTTGTTCATAAAATAATCATCTGATAATTCGAAGACATGAGCGATATTGTGCGCATGTAAATGTAGCCGTCATTTCGTTAGTGTGTTATCAATTTGTAGAAATTTCTTCTTCGGTGATACACTATCTATGTTCCTCCATTCCATCTGTTTGGTTGCATTCTTTCAGCAGATCTCTCCTTCAAACCGTAGTCAGATCACCTTAGTCGAACTCACTAATCAGAAGCTAACGATTCGTCATCAATCTACTAACGATTTTAGTTAGTGGGGATTTCAACGTGAAAAAATTTGCGTGGTTAAACTCTCAACTACTTTACTTGTTCACATCTTTGTTGAATATTGCGTTTTTGTGAGTGATTCAATTTGTGATTGTATCATTGTTGGGGTTTTTGCAGATAAAGCTTTAAGTGACACTGATTTGAAGGAGTTGCTTTTTGAAAATGAGTTATTGGAAACAAGAAACAAAGCAACAAGATAGGATCGATCGGTGCCTTCGGTAAATCTGAACTAATCGAGAGCACATTAAAAGAGATTGAGTATTGTCATCTTAATCTAGTAAAGGCGTTGATTAATGTATAATTAATTGATTCAATTCATTGCCATCAGCATAAAGAACTTTCTCTTCGAAATACAGATGAGCGATGATCATTCTGATTGTCGCATTGAAAGAAATGCAGTCACACATACACAAACGATCCACATACACATCATTCCATCCAAACCGATAAACGTCGAGAGCGAAATTTTTGATGTATTCACTCCTCCAAAATTGATAAATCGGATTGCAGTGGGTCACTGAGATTAATCACAAAAAACAACAGCAATAACGAAATCGATAATACAATATTAAGAGCAGGTTGATCAGAAACTTCATTCAAATTTTCTCCTTTACATTTCTTTCTTTTCTTTGATCGATATCCAGTAAGTGAGTGTACAGTTCATTGTATCGCTGTGCCTATAGGCAAGTCCAAAATGGCAAGAACAGTCCTCTTCCAGGAAGTTTTTACAGAGAGCGTTCATAAGCACCTATCGGTTCATCCTATTCATCAGCAACAGATCGCATTCATTTCATTCCAATGCAACAATTGCTTACCAATTGTTATCCTGTTTGTTTTAAAGCAAGTACATAGCATTTAACTGTGGAACAAACGATGAATCAAGCAAGGCTCAGCTAGGGCATCATAGGTAAAACCTAATTGAATTCCTAGGAACATTTTGAATGGTAATATTTTATTGTTACTTGGATATCGAGTGGTTGTTTTGTGAATCGCTGTGAGCGATCAGCGGAATATTTATCTTATTAAAGTTATAATTATTTATTGGATTGATATTTGGCTACGATTAATTATGCAAAATATTCACGGCAACTAATTAATTACTCAGTTGTGTTCGGTTGGCCTGCTCGCCTAGCCAGCGGGGTGGTTGATGGCCTTCCCAATCCAGATAATTTTAAATGGTAATGAAAATGAAAGTGACTTCCTTCATCCATTCATGACTACACTTTACGGAATTGTAAAGATACTGGGATGTGATTCATATATCATAATTCACTTATTCTATATCACATAGAATCGTACCCATCTCCTTTCATCCAATTTCTTCAAAACATTCGCAGGAAATCGAGGTAATGGTTGAAGGCTTACCTTAAGCATTTCGTTTGAACAATAAAAATTGGCTGTTACAAAAACAACAGACTTGATCAAGCAATAAGTCTGATATCCAAACGGATACCTTCCTCTTTCTCCCTTTCCTGAGTAGGTGCAAACTCAAATGATTCACTCTTGAAAACATTAGATTACTGTCTACGAAAACCACGGAAAAAATCTTCAAGGAATGGAATTACGACAAAATGAACAATTATTCTTCATTTTGGCTGCTCATTGTTTAGTATTTTTCTAAATGATGAGTCATATTTTCTCCGTCCGTTCTATGCTTGTTATATGAGCATTATATTTTCAAATATCTGTCCCAGTTCACGCCATCGGCTATGATAGCATTCTTTCTGGTTCTGTTTTGCGATTAATTTCCTTGATTCAATTCTTTTTCACGTGCTTTAACCTACAAATGATCCACAGTATCTCCTCCACATAATATTTTGCATTGTTAGTAGGCAGTGGTGAGCATTAACGTGCTGATCGTTAATGCGTTATTTATTTGATAAATAATTACACCTGATTACGAGTTTATGCGTGTCTATTATCACATCTTCGTTGGCATCCTTTTTTCTGTACAGCTAACGATAACAATACAGGCAATCACCCGTCCCCATCAAATTCTAATCAGCATACAGATGTAAGGCTACTGTTCTGTACTGCCCAAAAATTTCTAGGTAGGGTGGCGGGCTCGAAATAGGCCAGAAAATGCGTTCCGATTGATAGAGAGCATGCGTCAAGTGGTGGCTTAAGGCAACTGTTGTGGTAAGCCAATGACCTTTCTGAATCAGTGTTAAGTAACGTTTACATTCATCATAACCGAAAAGGTCCGTGGCGATTGGCACACTCACCATAACCAGCAGTGGTTATTCATTGCTGTAAATAATTTACACAATTAAGTATCGTCTGGAATGATCGGCAAAATTTTTTGTTAACAAATTAACTCGCTGATTAACTTTCCATCCTAAGGGACCGCTGCAGCTTCCGTTAAAATTCTTTTTTTGCTCCCGTCAAACGAATACCGTCATCAACGTCTTCGTCAGATTTTCAACGGGTCACGTTTTCTCAGCTTTCATTAACCTGTTGATCTCCGTGTTGGAGAGTACGGTAGTTTAAACCTGACAGATAAGTACCGAGAAATCAACACTGTTGTAAAGGTATGTGAGGAATACCTGATGGGAAATCAACACTGGTGTCAGCATAAAATACCTGAACTGGACAAGTGCGGACCTATCAGTTATACAGCTGTAAGTGTATATATATATATTGATATGTCCTATTTAAGGTGCCACAAGTAAGTTGAAGCCTGAGTTGTGCTTCGACTGAATTAGTAAAGTCCTTTATCAAAGTTGCCTAGTACAGATAGTCTGCTAGTTGTTATAAGAAAACATGTATCTTTCAAACCCATCAGCTCAGCGTTCTGGTTTACCTAAACTAAAATGAACTCATTCTTTTCATAAGATCGATAAATTCTTGGCACTAAACTTCTTGAACACTGGATTGCGGATTACCGGGAAAGAGGAATGCGATTATACAGATTTATTAATGTCGTCTTGTTTGAGTTAAACCCAGCTTGGATTGAACTGCGAATGATTTGCAAACCAAGCCAGGCTCATTTCTGCCATAAAAAGGAGTTTGCAAATTACGCAGAAACACCCCGGAACAATAGACGATCGGGTAAAAACCTTTAGGGTGAAATTCAACGCTCATTCTGCTTTCATAATTTGCTCCGTTTCTAACAGAGGAATTATTACCTATATTGGGAATGTAGATTTTCAATCGAATGATTAATATGTTTCTTAACGCTAGGAGACTCTTTCCAACTTTCGCATACTGATTTGGTGAGGTTCATATGACGGTTTATCATTATAGCGAAAATCATTATGCAACTCATAAAAGAGTGGCGATCATTTGAATATAGCGATTTTCACGTCAGTCAGTTGATAAATTATTTGTTTTGTGGAATATTCATCTTCGTATGATGAAATTGATCAAAATTGATCACTTTTATAAATGAAATTTTTCAGTCATTTGCTTAGATTGTTCGATCATTCCTTTAGTTATCACATACTGATTTGATGAAATTATATCCATCAACTGTAGACAAAAATTTACTGATTGTAAAGCGACCCTTCAAAACAATTTATCTTCAGATATTTATTTTTCACTTTAAGGACAACATGTACTCACCCAAGCACAAGAATAACATCAAAATAAACAACGTCACTTCTCGGTGAGTCCATGTGCTTCGTTCTAAGAATGCGCTTTTCACAAGAAAGAAAGTACAGCAACAGAAAAATCTCTCGAATAATATAGAGTGACAGAAAGTGAATCTACTCGTTGCAATAATTAAATGTTTTGACAATCATGGTGACAAAGACGGAAAAATATTCAACTTAAAAAATATTTTGACAAATACAATTCAACAGGTGTAACCGAATGAAAATAAAGCTGAAACAACGGATTTGAGTGTCCTCAAAGGTGTGTGCAGTAGCGTATAAAATACAGCTATTTCCGCACCAATGAATGCCTCTTCAGCGGAATAACAAACAAAAGATGGCGATAGTGCATGAAATGCCTGTAAGAATTATTGATATCCAAATGAAACAGAGTATTTTTATTCTTTCTTGCAAACAACAACAGTAAGAAGCAATGTTCCAAAGAGCTTTCAAATGTGATTGTTAATCTAGTATAAAAAAGCGCTAGAAGCATACGGCCTGATCCGAACTCTAGAGGTAGCAGTAACACACAATAACGAATTTGCGTTCAGTAATTTGAAGTGAAATATTATTGGAGAAAGTGACAGAAAACAAGCACAAAATCAAGCGTATTCCAAATTTCCTTGAATAACCATACTGAGGTGAAAGAACAGGTTATTAATGAGGTGATCTTTAGCACTGAGCCGTTAACATCTTCACTGGTTACATTTCACTTTCAGCCATTAATTTGTGAATAATCTGGCATCAACATCGCTCTTAACATTCAATGTTTCGGTGATGAACGAATGTGGCAAGTGATCGGTGAAGTTGTAAAATCGAATAGCGACGTTCCCCTTGGGAAGTACGAAGATGACGGAAGCAAAGGAAGACGAAAAAACAAAACTGCATATAGAAGAAGATGAGATACAAGATAACAACCGTCATACATAAACGGTTTCGCAGCAATAAAGCAATAATTACATCGAGTCACTTGATTGTTCAGGTGGTCTTTGATTGCGGTCGTAGTAAATATGTTGCGATTACAACCACACATGCTAATAATGCAGCGCTCAATGCGAGCACAAGTGAAAAGCCGAGTGAAGATAAGCAAATTTTACTGTGTACAGATGGCATAATCACTGACTGACTATAGCGAAGATGTTCACGATGGCGTAGGTCTACTTGATTCTGAAAGGAATTTATATAATCATATCACACCGAGAAGTTCAATGGGGCTACACTGCATCAACAATTATTGAGATCGACCGTTCATTCGTTCATTCTCAACTAAACGTAAGTGAAGAGTTTGATTGATTTGAAAAATATCAAAAAATTACCTCATCGCTAATTTCTAGTGTGCTAATATCAGTGCGAACATCCAATGTGTTGTCAGCACCGATTGAACGTTTCCTGAGTAATCGCAATACTGCTGGTGATGCAGCGGCTGCAGATGGAGCTGGAGCATTTCCTGATTTTACGGCACCAAAGCCTTGTGGCTCCGAGCACTCTGGTCTTGCGCATTCACTG